AGTGGGGTAGTGGTAGTGGTAGTGGTAGTGGTAGTGGTAGTGGTAGTGGTAGTGGTAGTGGTAGTGGTAGTGGTAGTGGTAGTGGTAGGGTAGCGGTAGTGGTAGTGGTAGTGTAGTAGTGGTAGTAGTCGTCGTCGTAGTAGTAGTGGTAGTGGTAGTAGTAGTGGTCGTGCCAGTACTGTGGTTATTGTTATCAGTATGGTGGTACGATTATTGTTGCTATTACCGCTGTTGATACTGTTGTTGTTGTTGTTGTTGCTGGTGTTGCTGCTGTTGTTGTTGTTATGAGTTGTAGTACTACTAGTACTCACGATAATGTCAATATCACTGCCATGAATTTACATGAGGATACGCCATACATGTCATTGTAGCATCCAGGCTGAGGGTACAGACAGACGGACGATTTGAACGACGGGCAGATAGCCAGACAGACGGACACACACTCATATAATATAGATAGATAGATAGATAGATAGATAGATAGATAGATAGATAGATATATATATATATATGTATATGTGCAGACAAACACAAACTCCTCTGTGTTATTCAGTCCTGCGCAAAATGAACATAATTCTTCATGTTGTTGCTACTAGTGTTACCATTACGGTTAGAAGGTAGGAGGGTTATTGCTGTTATTGTTGCTAGGTGACACACACACACACATATCTCTCTCTCTCTCTATATATATATATATGCATGTACGTATATGTATATATACATATACATACAGACACACAGATAGGTTCAGACAGATATACAGCACTACGAAAGTCCTGTGTGGCAAGGCCGGCGCCCTTGCGCAGAAAATGCCTTGGGCTCAGCTTCAGCGCCGGGGACTCAGAGCGTGGCTTCTCCTTGAGAACAGGGCGTGTGGTCACTATACATAAATATATGAGTGCATATACTATCCTGTACATGTAAACGAGTTATCTTTACATATATATATATATGTATATATGTATATGTATACGAGGTGTATACTATACATATATATATATATATTACATACATCTGTAAATAAATAAATAAATAAATAAATATATATATATATGGGGTAATCTAGGGTTCAGGCTTTCTCGTTGAAGCTTAGGGCTTCAGGGCTCCGTAGCTTAGGCGTGTCTTCCAATTTCGGGTGTGCATAAAGTCTCTGGGGTTCTCTTTGAACTTCGTGCTTGGTGACTAAGGATTAGTGATTAGGGCTCTAAGCGTTTAATTGCGAGTTTATTGTTGAACAGGGGGCTGGGGTTGAGGGTCCCACTGTTTCCTTGGCCGTTGGTTCAGGGACGTCTATGTGTCAGCTGTCTTGCTTCTGCATGGCTTCAGCTGCTCTGCATTTGCAGGGCTTTGAAGTACAAGGGCTTGTCTTCCTCACTTCTATCCATGTCACCGCTTAGCAATGCAGGTCCAAAAAACAACAACGACTAAAATTAAAACAAAGGGCAGCTAACAGCACCCAAGTCTCCGCAGCATTGGCGGTGGGCGGGGGAGTCAGGCTTGGAAGGTTGGATTCCGGGGTCTCCGCAGTTGTCCGACCCTCCGTCCGCTCTGCTCCAAAGGTGATGGTGGTGATCAAATCTCCGTCCGGATCTGGACCTCTGCGATGGCGGGGCTCACCTGGGCTATCCCCCCAAAAATAGGTGCTCGAAGCGCTGGAAACAAGAAACGACAAAAGCAATCCTAAACTTACCCTAAGCCCTAATGCCTTAAACCCCTAACCTTATCACAGAACGGACAAATCCAAGCGACGGGTTCGTCAGAGGACAACTAGCCTTAACAAATGCTAGCATCCTGAACCATAAACCTGACCTTCCTTTCCTTGAACCAAAGAACAAAAAGTTCAAGCATTACTATGGAAGCCATAAGCCCAATATAGTAGAATGCAGGGCTTCTATATTAGGAATAGTTATGGTTTGAGAAAGTACCCCCCCTATAATAGTACCTAGCAGTGGGGTGAAGTTCTTGTGAAGGCTTCCTAAGTGCCAGCACACACACAAATCCAAGTCAACCCTAAACCCTAAAC